GTACTCATACGAGCTTCAAGAGAGATTATGTCATCCCTAGCGTTGAGGTCGTCCCGCCATTGCTGCCTCAGATCTGCGAGTTTAGTATCCATATATTTTGTCAGCATTTCAGTATCGACGTTTAATGATGATGCTAAACTTGTTTTCGGCGACACGGATGAAGTAGGAGCAATCTTTTTTGCTCTTGCACGCCGAGCACTTCCACTTTTTCCTATTCATCGGTAGAATTTTTTTAAAATCAGCTTCAGATAGATCAGCGCAGAAGAAATGCAACACCGTGAGACGTAAGCTAATTTTACACAGGCCTATACATTTTTTTATTCATGACAAAGTGTTTCAAATTTAATATGGCGTAACACACACGAATCTGTGCTTAGTTTTTTTCCAGCACGTCAGCTTTTCAGGAAAAGTGTGATTGAAGTTTTTCACAGAAACTGCCAAAAATATTAAAGAAAAGTTTTCCAAAACAAACAACGGAGTATAAATAATAATCTACGTTAGATTTTTGTAAGCGAGTCCAGCTTTAAGGTAGCAAGCAACCATCATGCTAATATCCATCTTCCTTGATAACATTTCTCCATCTCCTTTATGTCTTGATGGAACCTCTCTCCCTTTTCCTCGCTGACTGGTCCACGTTTTTAAGAAAAAAGAGTCAATGTGAGAATCAAGGTGAGTTTGATGCTCATATTGTATCCCAGTTTTTTTATAATTTTCGACCATGTTGGCTACAATTGCTTTTAGGCCGGGAGATAGTGACACAAAATAGTGGGTCATTTGTACCAGTATGGCGGTTCTTCAGGGGTCTTATTACGCAATGAAAAAAAGAAAAATGATGGTCATAGCGCTGGAACCGGGGGCCATACGCGTGGGCGTAGCTGCCAGTAGCGGCAGTCGGTATGGCGGGCTGTAAGTCACACCGGTAAAGTATGGCATGACACTGCCGCCTCTTACTTTTTATGGACTATCGGAAAATAGGTACTTGAATTTTTGCGGAACAAATCGTTTGACACACTAATTAATCCGACGAGTTCGTCCTCTCGTGGTCGCTTATGTTTGCCAGGAAAAAATATTTTATTTATAACTTTCACAATCTAAAAATATTTATAATATTTTACACGCTTTATATTAGCTTCACCTGTATGTATGTATGTAACCGACTCCTTCAGACTCGATTTTGACCCACTTTAAACGGACAGATTCAATTCAAACGTTGTACACTTATAAAGAATCAGCGACAATATAATAATTTCATAGGTTTATCTCGAAAAAACAATGAAATTTTTTTAAGTCCACAAAGCAATACGATTAAATTGAGACAACACGTATTGCTGCTAGGACTAAAAAGTGGAAAATAAATATAGTTAAAAAAAACTAAAAAACACGCTTTTAAAACACATCAAACTAAAAAGTGAAAAATTATTCCTAATTTAGGCTGAAAATGGTAATGAACAAAAAATACTGGTATTATTGTGAAAAAGCGTCGGGCGCTCTGTGCCATATTTTTCGTCTATCGACCAATTTTTTTAGGAATTATTTTTCACTTTTTAGTTTGATGTGCTTTAAAAGCGTGTTTTATAGTTTTTTTAAACTATATTTATTAATTTTATAAAGCGTTTTTTTCTACATATATAATCTGCGTATACGAGTAAATATCACTGCGATGATGGTGTCATACACTGAAAAGCGCTAACAAAGATATTCCGGCCTCTAAGGATCTATACCGCTTTACCTTCCTACCTGGGGCCTTCGGGCCAATGGTTAGTCTGGTTGGAGGAACAATACACCATCCTTCCTTCACAACCAGGATTAAATAATAAGACATACATTTGAAAAAATCTTTATTAAAACTTCACACATGCAAACATTTCATACGATAAATCATGTCACAGTTAGAAAAATCACTGCTATATGTGAAATTCACAGTTAGAAATCACTGCTATAAGTGAAATTCACGTTTATAAATCACTGTTAAAAAGGCAATTACGCGATATGGGTAGAACTATTGTTACAAAATTTCATTATCTCCGGTTAGATTTTGCGTGAAAGTTCGCGCATGTATTTTATCAGATAAAAATGACTCCTGCGCATCTTTTGCAACTAACAGGAGCTATACCCATTCTAACATATTAGGCTTGTCATATAAAGCTTTATACATAGTATTTATACGGGATTATTATAAAATTATAACTGTTTCGACGTTTGAGTGTAGCGAACAAAAATATTATTAAAACCGTAATATGCCCTTTTACATGAACCTGCGAAGAAAATAAAATAAGATACATGACAAAATAGTTAGGAAAAATGCAAGAACGTTTAGTCCATTTATGTCAAAAAAAGATCCATATCAGCAAGCTTACCCTGTAAGTTCAATAACGATTCCGATTTTAATATTTATTTCGTACCACGTTAAACCAAGAGAATTTTAATGGTGAGTAAATAGTTGGAATCGATGTCTTACAGAGTAGAACAGCTGTTGATCAGTTTTTTTTTAATTCAAACAACTCCAAAAAAATATATCTAGATTAATTTTAACATATAAAATATTAAGTAAAAAATAATGGATGGAATAAACCAGTCTAAAAAATTAATTTGGAATGACTTCTATAAAAGTTAAGTTAATAAATGCATTTAGGAATGTATTTTTTGAGTATGGTAACTTCTGTGTGATTTGGTACTATTTGGTGGGTTCTAGAACAAGGAGAATATTAGGTTTTACCTATTGAGATTATAGAACACTAGAAATGGCTTAGAGGTGATGCCCGAAGGATTTACTTTCAATGTTATGGGCGCGTTCAAGTATTAGGTCACGCAATTTTTGGAGATTCCTTTCCCCCCATGTAACGCGCCGTAACGTTTTTCTGTACCCAATAGTAAATTTATACCTAAAAGTTACCTTTATGTGGTGCAAAGTACTGGAAAGTCGAAAATAATATTAACAATAACGCGTAATTCAATCCCCGCCCCGCATCGTAACGTTTTACAAGAGGACCCCCCCAAACATCGTTACATAATACTTAAACACTCCCTATGCTATACAATTCCTGACTTTCGTTGTTGAATCTAAAAAAGCGCTGCATTTAGTCTTCAATCCCAGCTCAGTTAAATTCGCTTTAACAAAAGCGCTGGATTGGGCGGTAAGTGCAAATTGTTTAAAGCGTAAAAATATTCCGCTATATGATGGCAAAAGCGCAGTCAGTGGCTAGCTTTGGTTTTTATAACTACAGTATAGGCCATTTATAGTAGCTGTGTTAGAAAGAGATACCGGCTTTGTAGAGCGCCGTCTCTGTCACCCTTGTCAACCCGGTCGCTCGCATGACGCTCTACAAAGCCGGTATCTCTTTCTAAAGCACGATGCGACTTATAAATGGCCTAGTACTGTATGGTTCCATTTCTAGAGATTAAAGTTCATAGTTAAGACCTACGGAAGTCAAACTTAGCGCTGAAATTTTGCATTAACAGCAAAGTCCTTTTAATATAAAATATTATTCGTCGCGATTTCATAATAAAAAAATCATAAATAAAATTGAGTGTAAAATGTCAAATAAGTTGTCATTAAATTGGATTTTACGTCAAGCGTATAGTCTTGAGGTCAAAAATGTAAATTAAAAGTTAAAATACATGTTAAATTTACAAAAATATAAAATTACATACTAAGTTACTTACAACGAAAATTTAGTTCATCAAAAAAATGTAAATAATTTTGTATAATAAATTGAGATTCTCAAAATTTGTACGAATTTAATTGATTTGAGCTCGTTTGTACATTTAATTTGAAATTGACTTTTGCCAAAAATTATTGCTGGTTTAAAAACCTTAAATATATTTGTGTAAAAATTTAATCTGATTTTCACTGGAATATTAAAATTGTCAAAAACTACTCTTAGTCCTATTGTCTTTCAAAAGTCGTTGAATCGTAAGGCATATTGTTGCTTGTATTAAAAATTAAATTAAAATACAGATGTTGCAATTCACTGGCAACACTTGAACATAGAGATATGTTCTGTAGTCTATTAACATTTGTAAACTTTAGTTCTGGCAACACTTTCTTTGCAACATATACAGTATTCTTATTTTTTAACTAAAATTGATATTTAATTTATTTTCGTCTGCTTTTTGCAATTTCTGTATTTCGATTTTCGAAACCAATATTTCTAGTTTTTTATCTAGCAACACTGGTTTATTGGATGTAAATTCTATAAACGTAAAGAAAGGGTGTAAGTATCAACGATATGTGTTGTTTGTTGGTCACCCCGTTTCCGTAGATCTGCGGGTCCAGTCGTAATCCGGCGTGATTAATGTCTGGTATAGGTGACTCTGAAAACGTAATAATATATCATTTACTACTGAGCTATATTCAGACCTATATGTTTGTGCAAGGGTGAAGATATGTGAGGAAACTGACAGGTCTACGGGTCTACTTAGGGGGATCTACAGACACTTAGCTCTAAGCGTTACTCCGATGTGTCCAAATCTAATACGTTTTTATGGGTTGCGCTGTATCGTTTCAGAATGACGGAACATTTTAATATGGTAGTGAAACTTCTTTAGGAGCATTAGGGTGAAACTTTTACGGAACGTCACGAAGATGTGCAGCGTTTTTTTCGAAAAAAAGTGAGAGCGCGATTGAGAGAAAGTGGGAAGGGTGAATTATAATTTCGTAAAGAGAATTTATGAAATATTAGTATTTTATATTTTATGCAAAACAATTTATCGGGATCTCAAATGACGAATTGTAAATTAAAATGCCACGTGTTTTTATGGTCGAAGAAATAAATTTAATGTATGAAAAAAAATCAGCAAACGTTCAAAAAAAAAAGAATAATTCCTCCATTAAATTGCCAAAGAATTCTCCTTACAAAACTGAAGTGGAGGGAGGCAATTAATTTAATTTTATGAAATATTTCTTAATACAAGAAACAAGTGTCAAGCAATCACCAAAAGAGACAAATTTAAATAGTCAAGTTTTATGAATAAAGGTAATAATAAATGACTCGTGCAACTTACCGGAAGGCGTATAGAACATAGGCCGTGAACATAACAGCGACCGTTTCAATGGAGGGCGCGAGCGATGTTGCAGCCCCGTAGCGCGCTTGGCCACACGCCGGCGGACACACCGGGATAATTGTTTCTACATACAAACATACGTTCATGCCATGCGTTGCTTTCATACTTATAAAATAATATAAATAATAAGACTTGGAACAAATAGGCCTTCAATCCAAAGTACTCGAATAACCGAATATCTTTTCGTTTACATTTTTTCCCTTATTAATTTCTAATTACAACGCATTTAATAATCTCAAAATGACTATTGATTGAGTTAAAGAAAATACGTTATAATGTAGTTTTATAAATACCATAATAAGCATTCCCACGCTATAAAAAATATCTAGACATTTATAAAAAAAAACAATTTTAAGGAATGCATTATCACCCGGGTTCTATTTCCAATCGTAATTGTTAGAGTCTGGCTAATGAAAGAAGATAATTGCATTATTTGAAAACTTTCGGATGGCAACACAGAATATCATTGAATTTCTTAGGTTAGTATGATTTATTGTCTTGATACTTCATGCTGATTACTAATTTTCATTTCTACTATATTATATTACTACAGTTACTATCAAATAATAAAATAAAATCAAGTATCAAGTAAGGTTAATCTACAAAATATATCAAACTTTTAGGGTAACTATACTAATTTTTTTTTAATTTGACGCGCTTTTTCGTTATCTTCTTTCATTAGCCGGACTCTAAGCTTTCTGTAGAAAGCGCATTTTACCTCTCTATAGTCTACAACACGGAATTACGATCTTAATACCCGTCTATAAATTGTAAAAGATCTAGCACTAATGACATTCCATTAAAAAAACATCTAAGTCATATAAAAATTAAAAAACAAACGTCAAGACGGACATCAAAACATGTCAAAATAAAACTGAATCATTGACAGTTTGGCAGTCGTGACAATTGTCAGATGTCAGAGTACTAACCAAACAACTCGACTCTGCCCTCGTCCCTTCCCAACTTGTTCTGTGCTTTGCAAGTGAACATCCCATATTGCCGCTTCTCAATAGTAATTACTCTTAGCGTCGTGTCTGTGAATTCGTCTGCGGTCGCGAAGTGAGAAATTCTGAAAGGAGAAATCATTAAATGATTATAACCTTTAAATCATTTTTACCTGAGAAAAATATTTTTCAACTTGTATAACTATATAGGAGGTCCTTACATATGAAATTGGCGTTTTGTATGAGAGAAACAAAAAGTTTTTTTTTTTAATAGAATATATTTAATTAATCAAAGTATGTACCATTGCTATCTATGCACTTTTGCCATCTTAAAAAACCATTTGGAGGGGAATCAATAAAATCTTTGAAGGCTGTTTCGACTCCCCCATCAGAGTTGACTTTTTTACCTTGTAAAAAGTTACCCAAATTTAGAAAAAAAAATGCTTATTTGTTGGAGCAAGGTCCGTGGAGTACAGGGTAAAAAAATAAAACGGGTAAATGAAATGAACCAATGACCTACACTCGTGCATTTGTTTTTCGAAAACAAAGTGGCCAGTACGACAAAACTTCAATTTCATATGTAAGGACCTAATATTCTTCTACTGTAGCATCGTTTTGCTAAATTAAAAATGTCATAAATTCGCATTTACGTATATATTATTTAATGTTAAGGAACGCTTAACTTCAATAATAATAATAATTCGTTCTTAGGATATTTTTAAAATAATCGTGAGAAAGCATAATCAAAACATTGTTAATTCTAACTATTATTTAAAAAAGAGCCACTTTATCGAAACACAAATGCTACTAATACAGATTAACAATGTCTCCTTATATACAATATATGTATGTGATTATTATTTATTAGATTTTAAGAAATATATTAAAATATAACTATATTTTTGGCTAGGGTTTTTTCTTGCCCTAAGAAACTTAAGCAAAAATATAAAGTGCAAATGTAACAATTTAGAGATATACAACAATACATACCTATAATGCTGGTTGTTGGACAGAAGCACTTCATCCTTGAGCCAAGTGATAGCCGGTGGAGGATAGGCCTCAACGTGACACTCCAAGTCCATGTCGTATTGTAAAGCCTGAAAACATCGTTTATAAAATATAAGAGAAGCTTTTTTAATGACTATGCCTAGTGGCTTCTGAGGTCATAGGTTCAACCCCTAAATTGGAAGTGTAATATTTTTATTATTTTTTGTAACATTTATACTAACCATAATTGTCATGTATTTCAAGAGAAACTTTGTAACATATTCTGTAGATATAGCATTATGCAGTGTAAACTCTATGTAACGACAAACCCCTTAAAGCGTCGAAATTATCCGTCCACAATTTAACTATCTCAAAATATAGTTTTCATAAAATGCATGGAGCAAAATTTAGCAAAATAATCTTTGTTTTTGCTTTGCCTTGTTTTGTCCAAAAAATAGTCGGTAGTGACGAAGTATGGAATGCGTTGGTATTCTTCTGCGAGCAAGTAATGCTGGAGAAGGAGACAGCAGAACGAGAGAGAGAGCGTTTTAGGGCGAATTCTAGGTTTAGAAGAAGCGGAGTAAATAGGAGAATATCCCATCTCCTACCTTCTATGTGGTGTGTACTGCACCGGAGGTTTTTGAGCATATTGTTGTTAAGGTCCCGGTAGAAAGCGGGAACGACCCCGGAGCCTCTGTAACGCGGCTTTGTAGGAACGAGTTGGTTTTAGTGGGTATTGCTCACCCAGTCTCTGAATAGCAAAGACTGGTGTGGCGTCGAGTGCCACATACCCCTGCAACTTTTGGGGGCAGGGAATGCGTTAAAGCATTTCAGATATAAAAAACCCTTACCACCTTTGTAAAAGCAGCGGGATGTATGTACACAAATAACACGTATTTACCTGTCCCAATCTGGGCCTGGGGACGGTCACAACTGGGGCGAACTCGACTTCCAAGTTAATATTCCTCCTGGCCCCTTTGCCCACTCCGTTTTCGGCCACACAGTAGTACGTTCCACGGTCTTCCTTGTGAACCTTTGGGATTTTCAGAATGTTGCCACTGAAAAAACACAATTGTATTATAATATACTGTGTCTAAAAATAGTAGTTTGTGTGATAGAATCATCCATCCGAAGCAAAAATCATTTGTTTGAAAACTGTTGACACGTGATTGGCTCTCGCACCGTCTATTGCGCCTGCGCCATAGCTATGATTCGGAGACGACCAATGCCAACACTTTAAAGGTTTTCGCCATTTTTATATAATGTCGAGCGGAGTAGTTCAGTTGCGAGAAACCGCACTCCATCCGCGCGTTAACTTTTTATTTATTCATCTAATATATAAAATTCTCGTGTCACAATGTTTGTTCCCATACTCCTCAGAAACGGCTCGACCGTTTCTTATAATTTTTTTTACGCATATTCTGTGAATCTATCTTTCAAACCCCTAAGCGATTAGGGTTGTCCACCCCAAAAATTTGTTTTTATTTTTAGACAATTTTTTTGGTTTTTTTTTATGATAGAACATACAAAAATACAAACAACCCCTAATTTTCACTCCTCTAAGATTAACCCCTATTTTTTATTATAGTAGACAGTTATTTTATTGAACTAAAACTAGTGAAAAATATTTCCTAGAAATAATATACATGGCAAAATAACGTTTGCCGGGTCAGCTAGTTGTATTATAAAGAAGCCCCGGAATAAATTACGTGAATAAAAACACTGTTTTACAGTTTTCTAGCAAGTTCGAGTGTCTCTAGCTTATTGTTAAAACTCACCGATAGATGGAGCCACCAGTAGGCAGGATGGCGTTGTTCTCCCGACGCCAAGAGATTTTTGGGGGCGGGAAACCATCAGAGTAGCATTCCATTTGTGTACCTAATTATGTAAATCTATGTTAAACCAACAATTTGTCAGATGAAATGATTTTATCAGAAGTAGTCCAAAATGTTTGTGGTTGTTAAAAAAACTATATTTCAATGCTCTGGCCATTGGGAATTACTGAAATACTGCTGGATTTTTATTTAACAGCTAAAATAATAAAACAAACTCACTCTCTCCTTCACTAGTGACAATAGATCTAGTAGAGTTGTCAGAGATGATTGGTGGCCGTCTCACTTGCAACTCCACTTCAGCTGATATTATGCTGCTCACCGTTATTATTACTTGACACTGGTACCATCCAGCATCTGTCTCTTGGATATCTTTGATCTGAAATGATATACATTTTTCTATATATTAAATATATATGAACGTTTATAGGTATAATATTAGATATAAATTAAAAAGCCTTATTTTTTTTCTAAATATTACAATTTCATAACAGTACTTAATTTAATGTTTTTTTAGCAAGAACCCTCTCATGAAAGGTAAAGGCCTCCTCAGAGAAGACCAGTATTCTCTGTTCTCTGCCGCTCGTAACCAATGAGTGCCTGCCACTTTTGTGATGTGTTACCCAGATTTGGTTTCCTCTCTTTCTTGTCCTAGTGGCCCATTGTGTTGTCTCTTTGTCCATCTATTTGTTAGCCTCCTACGTGACCCGCCCATCGCCTTTGAGCTTTTGTAGTAATTGAGGGGTCAATGGCTTGAGTTTTCTGTCTTATATGAGTTGGCGGTTTGGTTTTCCTTATTTTCAGAATGCTCCTTTACTCCTTTGGCTGGATATAATTTTATTTTTTACTTTTCTAGTAAATTTCAAGTTTAGGCGTTTTAATGAGGGCAGTAGGCAGGTGTTCATAACTTTCGTTTTCATTCGTATAGTCATTTTACTTTTGAGTATTTCTTTGAAGCTCCAGAACTTTTTCCATGTGTTTGTTCTTCTCTTACTTGTTTTTTGACTAAATGAATTGCTTTCCCAGGTAATGTAGGTTTACATGTTAGGGTGAGTTATAGGTATTTGGTTTTCAGTTTCTGTATAATAATAGGTATAATATTAGGTATAAATTATATATTAGGTATAATATAGGTATATATTACATATTAGGTAAATATTATATATCAGGTATAATATGTTGTAGTCTAGCATGTTCTGTAGATTATAAGGTCTTTGGCTCAAATCTAAAAAAAAAAAAACTGCGAATTTTTTCTGTGGTGCTGTCATGTAGAGTGACATCCCATTGGAAGCATACTTAGAGTGACACACATCTTCTGCCTAGAGCTACTGCCGGTCTTCTAGCTCTAGAATATGGTGACGTTTTAGTCGACTCACATACTGTCTAATGGTGAGTTGGCAAACAAGTTCATTCGGGTGACAGGTTAACCACTCTTTGTATTTAGCCAGTTTCCGGATTTCCTCTTTGATAGTTCTCATTTTAAGGTGTTCTTGAACTTCGTTGTTGGTTATGTACCATGGTACTTTTGCAACTGCTCTTAGGATCTTGTTCTGTAGTCGCTGGAGTATATTTATGTTGGTATCACTTGCGCTGCCCCACAGTTCGAGTCCATATGTCCAAATGGGCTTTAGGATGACTTTATATATAAGAAGTTTGTTATCTCGAGAAAGTCTTGAGTTTCTTCCCAACATCCAGTAAAGGCTGTTGTACTTTAGCTAAATCTTAAATGGGAATGAATAATAAAGAGTTTCCTATGAAAACTGTTGATGGACTTATAGGTATTCTAGAACATCTACAAAAGCTGTCAAACCCTTTTTCAGTATAAAGTATGACATATTTGACACCGCTCGAGGTGAGATTGTTCCTTGATATAAATAACAATATGAACTGTAAAGTGAAAAGCAATTCATACAAGAATCTGTTTTAGTGGGTATTGTATAATGCAGTAACTTACAGAAAGGGTATAAGTAGCCGAGGCATCATCATAACGCAAGGAGAACCGGGAGTCACGGATAATAAGACCAGAGCTGGTAGACAGGGGTAATGACTCTGTTGTCTTCAGACGGTCATATTTTACCTGGAAAGATATATTGTATATTACTTAACTTATACTCAGATAATATAAATTTGCCTCTTTGTAAGTCTCAATCAGTATATTATACATAAATTATGATTCTTAACTAAATAAAAAATAATTATTATGCACAGGCTTCTTGTCCTCTAAAATATTGTTAGATTTATCTAAAGGAAAGTAATTTCACTTGAATGTAATAATATTGACAATAGAGCAATTATAATGGTTAATAATACACACTTTAAACATCAATTTTTACACAATATATGGGATCTTTAACATTATGAAAGTATGTAGATCTTTATTTTTATTTTGTTTTTGTTTTTTTTATATTCTTTTGTTTTCTTATTACTGATAGCTCTTGACCTGACACTTATCACTTTCTCTGATAAAAGGGCAGTCAGGTCAGGTCTTAATATAGATTTATATTAAATTTACATCACAAGACTAGCTTTTCTTTCCATACTTGCTGTACCTACAATGTTGATGATAACATGCTAACATCATTAAATTGCTATTTTTGTTTTTTCCTTTATATCCTCATTTTACATTAAAAGTCTCATGTAAGCATATCTATACTATCTGCATATATGCGTAATGAATAACATTAATATTATATATAATGAGGAGAATCTAGGCCAATAGAATAAATCTCACAATAAGAGTAATTATATAGTTTCAAACCACAAGTATCAAATGACATTGCATTGTTTGTACTCTGCTTTTATTTTTAAAATTGTAATATGATTGATAGTAAATAAATTTACTGCATTAGGCATTATATATAAACCATATTAAGAATATACTTCTATTTATATCAATTTCCATGCACCAACAAAGCTATAATGTATAAATTATACTAAAATAATGTGTAGATAACAAGTACAAACCTTCCCTATTCAACTTGTTATTATTGTCTGCAAATGCTTTTGTTGCCTTTTAACAAAACTGGGCTTAGGAATACTTATTTATCAGCTTGCTTTTATTGCAGTTGTGAAAAAATTTAGCACATTACACCTCATAAAATTTACCAATTATTACAGTATGCTTCTTTAGCAAACTTATCACATTTTTTTTTAATACACTAGATAAACAGACAGAAGGTTCACAAATACATGACTGCCCTTCAAGAATTGTAAAATTTTTTCTTAAAGCCCTAAGTGGTTTGCATCAAGCAATATTTTTGAACAAATTTCTTCAGGATTTAATTTCCCAAAAGTACCTGCATACAATAAAAGAATTACTTACCCACAGTACAGGATAATCTTGACCATAATGGACTGAGCAGTCCAAGTCTACCTGTCCACCAATATCTCTTATCTGTTCTTGAGTGATATGTGATATTGTTGGGGTACGCTGTGCATTAGCTAAAATAATGTTAATTTTTATCAATATAGTTAAAAAATCAGAAGTTTATAAAAGGGATATTATAATTTACTTTTACAAGCATAATCCCAGTTGGTTGGTTTCAATTGGAATTAATTTTTCTTTGAAATATTAATTTTAATTATTATTCTTATAATTATTTACTAAAGTATTAATTGTATTTAATTTCACCAAAGCTCAATGCAGTTAAATTATTAAGAGATAGTTGACAATAATTAATGGGGTTCAAATAATATCAAAATACAGGTATAATATCAACCAATCATAGAATAAACAGGTTTGTGTTTTTTTTAAATATCTTCTATAAGGTTCACAGCCTTGAGGCCTTCAGAATATTTTTAGTATACTAGTAGAAATTAAGTCTTGACCTTCAGTAAATTATAAACAAAACGTGATAATATTCATAGTTTGTTTACACCAGGACGCCGATAAATAGGATCAGAAGTTTAAAGAAATTATAAAATAACTAAATCTTTTGGATAGACAAAATGATTTAATTTATTCTGATCTTAAACATAAAAAATCTTTTTGGGGATGTGTGTCTAACGAAAAGCATTCTTATTTTGAAAACTGGGTGTGTCAGGTAACAAAACAAAAGGTGCGATGAAAGTTACTGTCCTTAACGCTTGAAACTTTTAAACAAATAAACATAAATAATATACGCGGTAATTGTTAAGACAACTTACCAATCGATATCAAATAGAAAACAACGGTAAAATATTTCAAAAAAGACCACGCCATTTTTAAAAACAACGCTTCACTCCTCGTCAATATTCGATTTCCGAATGATCAAGATTGAAGATTCAGTCAAACAAATTGAATAATCGCAGTGTCAGCTGTCACGTCACTGTCACGACAGAAAAATTCGACAGACGCAATGTCGAACTTGATACCTAATTGTCAGATATCAATCAAATGTCATAAAACCAATTTGATAAATATGCGCATGCGTTAAAATTTTTTGGTTTGTTCAAAAAAACAACCAGTGACGCTATAACTCTTAGCCTAAGATGTCTAAATCTATTTTCTTTCTTCTGACACGTCGTCGATTTTTGGGTCATTCAATCGGTCGCTTCATCGTATATTTCTTTACCATAAATGCACACTCAAAGTGGAAACCTCAGGGGCCAGGGCTGACAGTCACGGCAACTGACCACTAGGCCAAAAGACTAAAAGTATTTTTCTCTATGTTAAAACGAAAGATTCTTTTCTAATGAAGATTTTCGAACGCATAGAATACGTAAGACGTATATCTACTTTAAAATAATAAAAGTATAAAGTTTTAAATCAGCTTTCATTCAATTTAGCAAAATTCACGAGTTGAGCCTGCAATATAATTATGATAAGATAACTACGGGTTACAAAAACAAGCTATTTAAGTTTGGTCAATAATACTAATGGGTGACTATGCTATGTTTTTATTGAAGACTTGTATAGGTACTATATATAACAATTGTGTATATGTAGCTTTTGAAACCAAAAAAAGTTTATTATTTAGTTTTTGCGTAAGTGCCCTTGAATAGGATAAGAAAAAGTAGGTACCTACAGAAAACGGGTTGAATAAATAAAATGTATTTATTTATTAAAATGGAAATATTACATATAGACACATCACGAATACATGATAGATATTGTAAAAAAAATATTTACATGTTATAATTATAGATGTTTTTATTAAAGTATGAATAACACAAATTAAGCGTTTCTTAAGGCAGTTTTTGCCGCGCACCACGACTATGTGGAACCAGCTGCTCACTGAAGTATTTCCAAAGCAATTCGACTTAGGGTCCTTCAAGAAAAGAGCGTACCAATTCATAAAAGGCCGGCAACGCACTCGCGAGCTCTCTGGCATAGACATGTCCATGGGCGGCGATAGCACTTACCATCAGGTGATCCTCCAGCCCGTTTGCGTTATCCTAAAAAAAAACACATTAATAGGCACGAAAATGTACAGCAATTTAGATTACATAGGTACACAAAAGACAAAACAATTACGGCAAAAACAATTTAAAAGGCGCTTGAAAGCACGAAAACATATCAACTTTGAAAAAATGAGTGTTATAGGAACTACACATGAATGGGGTCAGAAACCCCATTTTAGTATGCGTAATAGGTAAATCTATTTCATGAGTGAATAGATCTGTTTATCAAACATGTAAACATAGTAACTAATAAGCAATCAAAATAAATTTACATAAATTGTTTATCTAAAAAAGTTTTCCCCATTCTCTAGAGAGAGTAGCCCTCACCTACCCAAGCGACGCTTTGACCTTATTCGAAACATTAAGGAACCATTACAAGTACCTTGATCAAAGATTATGTTAATAGACAGGCAACGCACCACTTCTGACCTATACGCTGCAGGCACCCGCAGTCTACCTCGTCGTAGCATAGGCAAAACGCAGATGCGTCCAGCATTGTTGTAACCTTTCTCTGTTTTTAAACGAATAGTTCTCTAAAAAAGTGCGTGCGTACAAAGTACACATGTCAGAAGTAAAACTTCTTTGTAAATTAATTATTACTAAGGTAAAATCCCAATTGATGATCATGTACCTGCCCTGCGATTCTGTAACTCACTTTTCGAACTCACACAGCGGTTTTCGCATCGGCGGTCGCTCTGAAATCAGTCGTGAAGCAGTCATTTTATGATTTGGCGACCGCCGATGCGAAAACCGCTGTGTGAGTTCGCAAAATGAGTTACACAATCGCAGGGCAGTATATGATCACTCCATGTATTTGTATATCCAAATTCACACTGTTTACACACTGTTTATGTGCTAATAATAATATAAATAAATAAAAAATCTGCATTTACTGCACAAGACGTTATGCGACAGAATTGCTATCTAAAGTTCTAATATGTAACTACTAAACGAATATATCAACCAATAGCGTGTATTTTTTCTCGATCTTCCTTACTCTCTCTCAATGTTTCTCACTATAGCTCTCTCCCAGCTCTCACTCCATGGCTATTTGCTTCTTGCTACGTTTGCCCTTTCTCACTCTCTATCAATCGCTCTCTCTCTTTCCTTCGACAAAAACGCTGCACATCTTCGTGACGCTAATATAATTATTGCGTTTCATCCGTAAAAATTTTACCCTCATGCGCCTAAAGAAGTTTCACTTCAAAAATATGAATTGTGACCGATCTTTTTGGATAATAATAAATAAAATACATATCCTCGTCCAAGAACCGCTTTATCTAGGACAGACGAATAAATCAAACAATATATTTGTATATGTATGTCGCGATTATAAAGTTACTTTAAGTTTACTTTAAGATTATTAAAGTACGTTTTAGTGCGCTGTACTGATATAATACCTAAGATATCTTCAATAAAAACGTTTAGTTTATTAAAGAAATCGTCGTTTGTCAACAAACATAGTCACTATAGTAATTATGTAACAAGTTATCAACGCTCAACAATAATTAGATTGAAGTGAACTGTGATAAACATCTGACGATTTCTGTAAGTTCATAATATATTTATTTATTTATATTTAATCTTACAAAGCCAAATATATTAAAATATTAAACAAAATATACGAAACAGAAAAGTCAATTAAGTATACATATTAATAGACAAAAAAATAAAACCAAACATTAAACAAACGAAAACATAATATTTTAAAGAAAAATAAAGTCAAAGTCCTCACGCTTCTTAAAATATTTCCTCACACCCTCTTTTGTAAGGAAAATGTCTACATCTTCATAATTTGTGTCGTAGTTAGCTAAAACTATGTATCTATAATATACATTTATACTAAGTTTTATATGCATCTTCGTGGTAAAGTTATGTATGACATTATAATCCCTAATAAACATAAACTTAGCCGACCTATGGCCACTAGCCGAAATAAATGTGTTTGCGGACCAATTTTGTGAACAACGCTACCTTAAAATTAAAATCCGGAAAAGAATTCAGCGCTATAGTCATGGTCCTCCAACATCAGATGTTCCCATAAACACATACAAGCTTTTACGCAAAATGGACCCAGGAAATTTAAGCCTTCAATATTTTACCTAGAGGCGTAGAGACGCCAAATTTTATTCTCAGTGAGTTTAGGTGTAAAAGCGTTACTTACTCACCTTTTCACTTGTAATATTCGTTAGTTATTTATTCATCCTATATGTTTTTAATCTTTATAAACAGGCCGGATATAGGGCAGGGCCTCCACAAAAGAGGGGACCCCACAATAAAGTAAAAAAAAAAGGTTTTAAATTCCGACTAGTAAACAAATTTTGTTTGATTTTTTTTTCGCTGATAAACCTTTACCTTTAAAACATGATTATATTATTCTTAATTATTAACAGAAATCCTTGATCTGTATTTATATTTTTGTTAAATACTAAAAGAATCTACTTGGTTTCACATTAAATTATTGATTGAAAAACTCGACTGATTTTTTTTAAAATTTTATTTGAAAGTAATTTGGGGCAGGGGTCCTCCACTCCTTTGTTACCCTGAGGCCTCCAGACCTCTAAATTCGGCCCTGATTATAAAACGCTATTTACTTAATACTTTACCTACAACGGTAACATCCTTTTCATGACAATTATTGTATAAAAATGATGAGATCGAGGATAGGCAAGAGGCACATTACCTACAGTAGCTAAATAATAATCTTTGCAGATACAAAATGAAGGCTGTAGTATTCGACGGGAAATGCCTTGCTCTCAAATATGACGAAAACTATCCAATGCCAGAGATAACAAATGATTATGATGTAATTGTCAAAGTTGAATATTCTGGAGTCTGTGGTACTGATCTTCATATTATACAGGTAGGTTTAATCTACGAGAATATTACCTTAAGATTTGGAGTGGAGTTTTGATTCAGGAATGAAACAACAGACACACAGAAGACAGAAGTGTCTCTAAATTGCTTACCAGATAAGAAAGCAAGTATGATTAAGTACTCTTACCCTAAATACTTTATATAAAACTAGCGGACCGACACACGTTGTCCTGTACAAACATATTGTTACGAAGACGGGTCGACTACAATGTTTCTAGATTTTTCCACTACTTAGAGAACTTTTCAGCAGGCTGAAATGTGATTTCTGACCGTTTCAGGGGAGGGTCAATCACATATTAGAAAATCGCAATTTACATAATGTTACCCTAGTTTTCAGGAGCCTGAAACATTTTTTCAGGCCGTTTCAGAACACGTGTAGTCGAATGGTACACTTTTCAGGAAACCCGTTTTCAGGCGTTTTCAGGCCTGGTTATACCCCTTTGACGAAGGAATGTTCTAGAACGAATTTTCTAGGTGTGGGACAAGGACGGAACGATACGCGAGAGAGAGGGAATATCGGAACCTTCTCGAAGCTAGACCGAGCACTCTAGAACGCCGTACGACAAGGACGGAGCAATGTGCGAAAGAGATAGCTAGTACGCACGTTCTAGAATTGTGCGATCGCTACTCAGTTGCACTGCCGCCTAGAGAGTTCTCGAACATCGCTCCCAGGGATATATAAGCGAGCCGAAACGCGACCGATTAGTTCAGTTTTGAATGCGATACCAAGCGATAAACACCGGAGTGACAAAGTGCGAATATAGTGAAGAAAAGTGAATACAAGTACTGTGTGAAGTGCGTGTTATTAGAGTAATTAGTGACAGTATTTTGTGTGTTTATTCAGTGAATTTTTGTGCGTAATTTCCAGTTTTTAGTGTTAACAAATTCCTCGTAGATTTAATTGAAAATAAACCCTTGAAGAGATTTACGGCGTTTCTATCCGATCCCCTAGCTCGTAACATTTTGGTGTCAGAAGTGGGATAGAAAAATGCCAATTACTCCAAGGGAGAATCAAGAGGAGTTTGTGGAAGAGTCTGCAGCAAATGCGGGGATGCAGGCACAGAAGACTGAGACAATAACATCCAAGTTTGAAAACCTGGCAAGTAGGTTATCTAAACAGGAGAAACGCTTGCTTGAGTTAGAAAACGAGATTCAACGCCTTAAGATGTCTGGATTTGTGGAATCATCTGGAGCGGTGGAGGCACCTACCTTTGATGGTTCTTCGTCTTGGGGCGCCTACAAGGTACAGTTCGAGGCTCTGTGCAAGATAAACGGTTGGAAAAATGATCAGGCTGTGGCTGCCCTTATGTTGGGACTGCGAGGCGAAGCCCTGGACGTGTTAGAAGTCATGACAGGTAAAGTGACACTGACGCGCCTGCTGGATGCTCTGGAGTCACGTTATGGGGACTCACATTTGGAGCCAGTCTATAGGGCTCAATTACGGGAGAGAGCGCAGCGACCGAGTGAGAGCTTGCAAGAATGGGGTCTGGAAATAGAGAAGCTGGTTAGAAAAGCCTACGCATCCTTACCAGATGTAGCAGACAAGATATTAGTGCAAACCTTCATTGACGGAATAAGAGATCGTGAAGTCAGGATTAGTGTGAATCTTGGTCACCACAAGAACCTGAAGGATGCTCTTGCCCATGCGCTGGAGGTAGAGGCGATTCGGAAAGATTCTCGACCTTACCGCATTAGGGCTGTCACGGAAAAACCAAACTCGTGTCAACGTGGACCAACCTGTTACCTCTGCGGGGAAGTGGGGCACATGAGGTTTTCGTGCCCAAAGAAAGACTTCCGAGGTGATGTGAAGGTTAGACGCGGGAATACCTTGGTTATCGACGGAGTTGTCAATGGAACTAAGTGTGACCTAACACTGGATACCGGAGCTTCACGAACCGTAATCAGATACCAACTTCTGAAGTCATTTTATGGAAGCCCTTCTCGAGGAATTGTACAGCTTGTTACAGCTACAGGTCAGCGTATAACCGATCGGGGAGAAGGTATCGCAACCTTCAAGATTGGTGGAAGATTTTACAGACACAAGGTTGTTCTTGCCGACATAGTAGATGACTGCATAATCGGGTTAGACTTTATGAAGCTGTACAATTGTAAAATAGATCTGGAAAAAGGAATCTTTAAGTGTGGAGAACAGGAAGTTTGCTTAAAAGGACACTCTACAAATAGTGGTTTTGACGTCTGTAGAGTTATCAATGTGGACGGACAGGCCAGTAATCAACAAGAGTGGAAAGTTACTGAGACCTATGAGGAAGCCTTGTCAAGACAACTATCAAAGGCAGAGGAACAATTAAGGAAATTTTCGGACATGTTATCTGCCCATGAAAGAGAGGTTACAAGAAGTTCAGATGTGTCTCAATGGCTATTTGAAAAGGTCAACAAAAAGGACAGAAAGGAGATTGGCCATGTGAGAACTTTTAGAACAGACACCATTCATTCAGATTGGGGTGGAAAATTTATGCAGATAGCACAGCAAGAAGATTGTGACATTAAACCAATTCTGGATTTGATGAAATCATCAGCTGTCATGCCGCAGTGGAGTAAAGTCGCATCTACAAGTACCACTACTAAGAGTTACTGGGCTCAATGGGATAGTTTAGTTCTACATAATGGAGTGTTATGTCGCAAATTGAAAAATGCTCAAGGCGATCATTTACAGATAGTTGTGCCAAGATCCAAGGTTCGCGACATATTGGAAATGTTTCATACTGACTTGTCTAGTGGACATTTAGGAGTAAAGAGGACTCTTATGAAGATTAAAGAAATATTTTATTGGATACACTATCGTGAAGATGTTGAAGACTGGATCAAGAAATGTAAAGATTGTGCAGCTATTAAGGATTCGCAGACTCGGTCTCTATGGGAAAGGATAACGGTGAAAGAAAGTGATGATGCTCGGGACGAGCATGTCTAGGAGGGGGTAGTGTTACGAAGACGGGTCGACTACAATGTTTCTAGATTTTTCCACTACTTAGAGAACTTTTCAGCAGGCTGAAATGTGATTTCTGACCGTTTCAGGGAGGGTCAATCACATATTAGAAAATCGCAATTTACATAATGTTACCCTAGTTTTCAGGAGCCTGAAACATTTTTTCAGGCCGTTTCAGAACACGTGTAGTCGAATGGTACACTTTTCAGGAAACCCGTTTTCAGGCGTTTTCAGGCCTGGTTATACCCCTTTGACGAAGGAATGTTCTAGAACGAATTTTCTAGGTGTGGGACAAGGACGGAACGATACGCGAGAGAGAGGGAATATCGGAACCTTCTCGAAGCTAGACCGAGCACTCTAGAACGCCGTACGACAAGGACGGAGCAATGTGCGAAAGAGATAGCTAGTACGCACGTTCTAGAATTGTGCGATCGCTACTCAGTTGCACTGCCGCCTAGAGAGTTCTCGAACATCGCTCCCAGGGATATATAAGCGAGCCGAAACGCGACCGATTAGTTCAGTTTTGAATGCGATACCAAGCGATAAACACCGGAGTGACAAAGTGCGAATATAGTGAAGAAAAGTGAATACAAGTACTGTGTGAAGTGCGTGTTATTAGAGTAATTAGTGACAGTATTTTGTGTGTTTATTCAGTGAATTTTTGTGCGTAATTTCCAGTTTTTAGTGTTAACAAATTCCTCGTAGATTTAATTGAAAATAAACCCTTGAAGAGATTTACGGCGTTTCTATCCGATCCCCTAGCTCGTAACAATATTAAATATAAAATATCAAACCTAAAAATAAACATCTATTTGTAAATAATCTGAACTATTCTGGAACACTCATCAAAATCGATCCATTATTTATATGCATTACGGCGTCAAGAAAGATTCGATCGTTTTAGTTGTGACTTGTGGCTTTATTAATGATAATATCGGCATAGTAAGCTAATAGAAACTCGAAATAAACACATTAACTTCAAACTTTATAAGTATATGTCAAATTTTCAATTATACTTAACCATAGATAACATTACGTCTAGCTGTCAGTTGCGTTTCGCTATTCCATTTTTAACAAATGAACAGCTAGACTGATGTTTGGAAATCTGAAATGTTTGAAAAATATCCGTCTCCTGGTTCTAAGCTACCTCCCCGCCAATTGTCAGCCAAATCAGTTCAGCCGTTATTTATACTATTAATAATACTAAGTACTATTAATAGTAGTATAAATAACACGACTTTCTTTAATATATGCGTTGTGTATATAAAATTATGACACTGAATTTGTATTATAATTTAAAGATAAACGATTATTATCGTTTAGATGTCTCAGTTTAATAATCATCTAAACTAGAATATAATAGTTTATATAACATACAAATTAAATTACAATAAAATAAAAATTTTACTTCACATAATAGGTTATTAACAATCTTACAGTCTCAGTCTACATAATAATTATTAAAAGGATATGGAAACTTAACAAAGTATACGTGGGTAACACTAAAAATGTTTTGAACTGGCCAGTTAGAAACATTGCTAATGAAAACTTTGCGTTCATTTGTTATTTGTTTTTGTGAATTGGCGGCAAATCTAAAACTCTTGTTACACGTGAAAATGAATGTGGGAGAGAAGAAGAAAAGAGAGAGAAGAGACCTCTAAGAAAGAATGGTCCCACTGCTTTTCTGAGTGGTTCCATCGAAAGCGACGATTTGTAGAGAGGAACGGAGATTACTTCGAAAAACAATAAAAGTATTGGCAACTTTCTACATTATTCCGTTTTTCATTTTCCAAACATTTTCAGTGTTATCTAGGTATAAGTCGAATTTCCTCGCTGTGTTGCGATACTTATTCGTTGAGCAAGAGAATCATATCTGAGGAGCTGAATTTGAAATTTTTTTTTATTTATTTATTTTAAGCCTTATCTTAATTTCCTAATACAAATATATCAAGTTATCTCATGTGTTAGTGAATAATTTTTACAGTTAGTAAGTATCAGGAACCCTCTCCGGTAAAGGCCTCCTCCAAGGCTTGCCATCTTTCTCTATCCCGAGCTATTTGGACCCAGTGAGGACCCGCGATTTTTTTGATGTCATCATCCCATCGAGCGTAGGGTCTGCCTCTGTTTTTTTTTTTCATTGCTTGTTTTGTGTGGTATGATGATGATGTCCTTGGAGGGTTTTGGTCATAGTCTTCCACGGTGACCAGCCGGGTTGGAAGAATAGTTGGGGGAGTGTGTTTATTATACTTTTGTTACTTTTGTTTCTTTCGTTTCTGACCGCCGGTATACAATAATTGCTATTGCTGAGTTTTTGTTGGGAGTGTTGAATGCTCGTGAGATCGGCCTCTCATCACGTCGAATGCATTTATTCTGTTATTTCTAGACGAGATTAGTGTTTTCTGTTTTCTTGGTTGTAATAATTCTGCTTGCGGAGAGTTTGATTTAACTCTCTTCCTCTTGTCTATGGCCCTTGAATTCCCTTTGACAATAAGTTTATCATACTTTATGAACGCTATGTTTCCTTTCTGCCTTTCTTCCATTAGTTTGGGTTGCAAGGACTTCCGTATTTCCAAGGTTTCTTTTGAGTAGTCTTCTGTTATATATAATTCCTTTAATTTCTTTTTGTTCCTGATAATTTCTGCTCTTTTCAATCCGCTAACTAAAGAAAGGAGGGTAGGCCTAGGTTTTCCATTATTATTTTTTATGCCAATACGGTAGATTTTATTTATTTCATAATTTTCTAAGGTTATACCTAGTTCATCCAATAGACATTTTTTAATGCACTCGATTAAATCCAACGTTGACTGCTCACTTTCCGCCAAACCGTGGATTATTATATTATTGCTTCTCTTATCTCTTTCTAGATGCTCTATTTTCTTTTCCAGCTTTTCTACTTTACTTTTCAATATTTGGTTTTCTTCGAGGACAGGTCTTAGTTTTTCCTCCATTTTATCAAGTATTGTGTTCGTTAGTTGGGTTGTTTGGTTCTGCAATTCCAACTTCATTTTGTCGAACAGTAATTGAAATTGGTCTTCCATAATTTTGTGTATAATAAAGCGCAATTAACTATATGTTTTGCCAATTTTATTTTTTCCTACAGTCCTCTGTGAAAAGCCAGAGGATAACGCGATGATTAGGTTTTAGTGCCACACAGTCACACTTGTTTTTGATAAGGGTGTAATGTTAATGTGAAGATTGTCTATCAAATTTGTTTTTTACTTTTTATTTCTTTCCTTCTGTAAAAATGTTTTGCGGAGCTATAGTAATTGCAATGTTGGTACCATACAGAGGAGAAAAAAAATATCAAAATCATAAGAAATAGTAAGAAATAATATGGCCGCCCTGAGATTTGATCGTACGGTAACTTGGTTACAAACTTTTTCATGCAGCGTTCTGTTCAGTTCGCAACTGTGCACATGTCGTAACTCGCGAATACTCTGTACGTATTCTCCGTTTCGTTAGATCGATCCGGTATGAGTCATTGTCTTCTTTGTTCGAATAATGAATCACTTGTTGACGGCACTTTCACTTTAAGGCGATAACGAATTTTTGTTCTTTTAGACAGTCAGTTTATCACTTTATTACCGATCCGATATTTGAACTATTAAAAGTTTTCTTCAGGATTGCACTACTTAATCGTTTTAATGCTATTTACAAGTTTTAAACATTGCTACACTTTTGAAATGTTTGTATGTTTTACTAGGTTTATATCAGAAATTAGTCTAATAAATCCTTCACAATCACTTGCACTGATACTATAAGCACTACTTTATAGTTTTTTGTACTCCGAATTCGCGAATATTCGTTTGTTGTATTTTTAATGATTTATTATAGCGGAGTACGACGTGACTGTGACGCACGCGGCGGTCAACCCCCTTTGAATTTGAGCTGGATTTGAAATTAATCTAAGATAATTAAAATATATTTTAGGGCGAATTTCCGGCATCGAAGGAGCGACCTCTGCCCTTAGGGCACGAGTTCAGTGGTATTGTCCATGAAGTGGGAAAGAAATCGATATTCAAGGTTGGACAGAAGGTCGTTGTTGATCCAAATAGGTGAGTTCTAGGGCTTCTATTTCACACATGATTTAAGGTAAGTGATACAAATAAGGTCTACCTAATTTGAAACACTCATATCTCGATAAATTATTTGAAAAGGGTGATAAATAAAAGCAAGGCATTATTCTTTGGTTCATATTTTTTAAGTAATTCAGGAAACATATTGTAATCTTTTATGAAAAGTCACTCAAAAAGAGGTAATTCTGGAACCTCAGCTTTAGGCCTTTTAAAAACACAGCGATTAAACAAAGCCTATAATCTCCTTCAAATATAGGAATATTGTTATTAGAGTATAATTTACATAAAATATATATTTTTGAGCTTTTCTGAACTACAGGCCTTATTTGTATCACTTACCTTATTTAAAATCATCCAATTTGATGCTATTTTCTCTGGGAAACATTTGCATTCTTATTTCTTAGTGGCTGATTTTGCGGTTTTTTTATAATTATTTTAGGTAACATAATATGGATATTTATACAGTACTTATTTACAATTTTCTTAACTAAATTATATTATTAAAAGGAGTTCCTTTAGGCAAGGTTCCGAAGATACTGGCAGCGTTCCCCCTTTGAATAGCTAGACTAATTCTTTGTCCGAGATAGCTGCCAGCTCTTCGGTCTCCTGTGATGTCGACTAACCTTTATGCTATTTTCTTAAAAAGCTTTATAGCGCTAGAACCAAGGGTCCCTAAGACTTATTTATTAAAATCATATATCATTAAAGCAAAAAGATATATTTTATAAAATAATAATATTAATTACACAGGATATGTACAGTTTATTTATTTATGAATGTACCACTTTCTTTGCAAATAAACGATTAATTATTATTGATTACTCCCATGCGCCCACTCTTATGACACTCTGTTCAAACACTAAGGCTTTTGAACGGCTTAACCGATTTTGAAAATTCTTTTTTTAAATTAAAGATGGAAAAATTTCCCGTGCTATAGGCTCGATAAAAACTCAATAATATTTACGAATAAATCACAAAATAAGCGGAAAAACTAATATCTATGGGAAAAACCATGTAAAATATTCACACGCGCATTTCAGTGTCATTTTGTTGAAAGGACTTTTGTCCTTAATTTTAAAATCCAAAATCAAATCTTTAAATTAAATGTTTTGAATCTATGTATTTTTACTCATAATTAAAAATTGAGTTGAACACTCGCTCCGCTCAAATTTGTGCTGAAGCGAAGCAGAATTACGAGCACTGCGGCGTCCTAGTTATTATGTCTCGTGACGAACCATCTGGAGTGTCATATCAAGTAAAATTCTAAGAACCTTATCATGGATAAACCGGTTTTAAATGAATAAAAAGCAATTGCAATTTCTTACAGCGCCTGCAACCTCTGCAACTTCTGCCGCGATGGTAAATACCAGTACTGTTTAACTGCTGGAATTAACAGCACCATTGGCATTTGGAAGGATGGAGGCTGGGCCCAGTATGTCAGGTGTCCACAGGACCAGGTATATTTGTTACCTGATGGAATAACTACAGAGCAGGGTGAGTATAAAGTAATACAAATCGAAAATTAATTAAAATAAATAAAATTCACAATTCGAACTTTTCTTGAATTCAATTTGTCATTTGCATAATTTTCACTGCTAACTTTTGCTTTTTTTTTAAATTTGAACCCATCGGCTTCCCCAAAGGGTTTTTTATGGTTTTTTAATAAAATATGGTGATTAGGGAACCCAAATCCAAGAATTTTTTTTATTCCCTCCGTAATTCGTAAACTGTCAGACTGCGGCAAGTTTTGCCCTTTTCAGCCGATACAGTGTGTATATCCGTCGTTTCCAAGACGCCCGAAGCTAGGGGGTTGACGTGTTGCTGAAGTATCATTTTGTATCGCACGGTTGATCTTTTAATGTCTTCCTCGACAGTAGCAATTCCCAAATATTTATGGACTTCAGCATTTCGTGTTAACCACGGAGTACCGCTCATATTTCGCAGTGTTTTGTTTTGTAGCCGCTGCAGGATTTCGATATTAGAGCGGCTTGCTGACCCCCAGAACTTTTACTGATATGATTTTTTACTACTAAGTATTATTATTATTACATTATTATGCGACTGAGTCGCAAACTAGCTGCTGTGGTCTCTGGCAGAATGACCAGCGCTGTGGAACAGTCTGCTCCTCAGCATAATGCTGAGCCAATTACAACCACAACACACGCATTACACACTTAAAACATACCTTGTTTAAAAGAAAAAATTTTTATCTCTCATTCTTTTTTATATTTTTTGATTATTGTTATTTTGTGTGTTTCTGTGTGTGTTTTTATAAAAGCTTTTATATAAATATGACGTATATAGATAGAATTATTTTTTTAAATAATTTTGTACAATTTTTTGACGTCATTATATCTTAGGAGGTGACTTAAATAAATTAAGATATATTATATATCTAAAATAATGGTTGCCACCTCACATTTATTGCCTGGGTATTAGGGTAACATTCAAAAACTAGACAAAGCATGAACTTTCACTCCAGTAAGTGTAAATCCCAAACGTTTCCTGACATACATAGTCACATTAAATAAATCAGTGGCGCTACATCTTTTTAGGTCTGGGCCTCAGATTTTTGTATCTGTTTCATGATCATTTGTCAATCTAATAGGCAAGTTCATCAGCCTCCTATGCCTGACTTCTTATGTCTAAGGTAAGAAATTTTGCAATGTTGGCAGCTCCTTACAAACGTTGTGTAAAAAAAACATGGCGATTAAAAAGAGTGGCAGAGAGTTTATTGCCAGTTCTTCTCTTTCGTTCTACGCCCTTGATTTGAGAACTGGCACTAAATGTAAAGTTAGAAGCATTTCATATACATTTCTTTTTTTGACGATCATAAGTGTACAATGTGTTACCTTATACCTATATGATTAAATGATTTTTGAATTTGAATTTGAAGACAGTTTCCTCACGATCTTTTCCTTCACCGTTCGAGCTGGGAATCGAACCTACGATCTAGCCACTAGGCCAACACAACCTGTGTTTGCCTATAAGTAACATTAAATCTTTTTTTTTCTTGGACCAATGTACCAGCGTGCTGAGCGGTGGCAAGCTATTGTAAATAAATAAATAAGATTAACAATCGGGATTTTGCGTAAAGTCTGACTCCGGTACGTCAAAAATCTATTGCATGTTGACATACGGGAATCATTTTAACTGCTCTCGAATCGTTCAATAAATGACAGATTGAAGGATGTTTTTACTGACTTTTTCAGCGGGTCTGTGCGAACCATACTCGTGTGTTTCACATGGCTTTGACCGAGCTGCGCCAATTCCTGTCGGTACCAAGATACTTGTTGTCGGAGCTGGTATTATTGGTAAGTGAATAATAATATGTATTTAAAATATATTAGGCATGTGTAAAAGTGATATAAATCAAAATGAATCGCAAAATATGTTGCCAAGTGCAAAACTCGATAGCGGCTGGACTTTTGAATTTTTTTGTTATTTTTTGAATTCTGAGGTTTTAGAGGGAAAAATTTGAAAAAAAACTTTCCACGCTGAGGTCACCCGTGCCAGGCCGCAACTTAAATCTTTAATTAGCGCTTGTGCACTTGAACTCCACGGTTAAACTATTTATACACACTCACAGACAATATAAATTATATTGACATTTTCTGATAACATTATTTTGAAAAACATATTACGTGTTTAAAAACAACCACATAAACAATAAAACGATACGATAGTGTATTATCTAAATTATTTTATTTACATTTTAATTATCTTTATTGTCATTTAGCATTATTAAAATTATCTTTTATGTAGTTGGTTATATAGATATATTTACAAACACAAATGTTATATAAAGTCGGATTTTATATATATTTCGTTTGTTGTTCCGTATTACTTTATAATTGTCGCCTACGACATTGATCTCTATTTCTGAATTCTGACCTTTGAGTTCAAATAACAACTAATTCTGTGGTAAGTACTCGCATTTGTACACAAACATAAATGTAGTAAAGCGACATCTACATTCTTGAACGACAAACAGAACGTAGACATCATACTCCGAAACACGCTAAGAAGTTATTACGACTGCTAAGATACAAAATTTTGACTTTACCCAGATACCTTGACTTCGGATCGGCCAGTCAATGGTTACACTGAGGTTTTTTGTGTTAATTTTGTGTAATAAAACAATTCTGATTTATTTACCCCGCCGCCGCAGCGACCAAAAGTGAGTTTTGCCACCCGACAATAGAGGGCGCCACCTTCACCGATTTCACCAAATCAATGTTCTGTATAGTCAATATTCATTTCATATTAATTTTTAATCATTCGTCATATTTAAAAAATTGACACAGGAGCTGGAAATTTGGACTTCAGCCTCATATTTTTTTAGGTTTAATCTACACCAGCTCACTTTCCCAATAATAAGTCTATTCTCAACCAAAAAATATCACCACAAGATTGTCGACCATCATTCACAAACGGGTGCTTAGCTATTTTAGCCATTGCCAGGAGAGAACCGAATAAACCGTCTCGACAAGCTGGTAATGGTAGGGGGGAGTGATGGCAAAAGAAGTCGGGCTCGCCTAGAGAGATATCATTAAATAAATTCAAAGCTCTCGTTAAGCGTAAGAAAATCAATAAAGCTTTTTATAAATTTGACGTATATTTAAATGATCCTAATCCTTAGGATTGAGTTGCTCCAGTTCAAACAATTTGTATGACTCATAACTAAGCGTTTCAAAGGAGAGGCGGAGAGTTTCTTGCCAGTTCTTCTTGCCTGCTATACGCCCTTGACTTGCGTAAATGTAAATTTAGAATTAATTTAACTTCTTTTCTAACGTTCATAAGTGTACTTGTTTTCACCTATACGAACAAAGTTATTTTGAGTTTGAGTTTGAAAGACACTTTTGGGTCTCAACATCTCTCCAAGTTGAGGATAGAATGTGGTGGAGGCAGCAAGTCGACGTGTCGGTTAGGCCTTTCCAAGGCATACACGACCTTCAGTTATGAAGACTAGGAAAAATGAGAAGACTCTTATTAAAGTATACTTGGACTATGTATATCACAAACAATTAAACTAATATACACATTTTTCCTTCACGTTCTCGCCACAATCGGATATGGACAGAAAATAAATTAAATGTTCGTAATTTTTTTTAGGTAATTTATGGTTGACGACTCTTCATCTTCAAGGCCACAAAGATGTGACTGTTTCGGAAATGAACAAAACTAGACTCGACATTGTAAAGAAACTGGGTATGATTGTTACTGAATTCTTTAATTTTAATATAATTTAACATTTATGAACGTTATTTATAATTGAATTTTATTAGTAATCTTAAAGTAAGCATTAAGAAAAAAATACAGATTTCGAATGAATCATAATAAGGGCTCATGCCCACGAGACGGTTTCAACACGGCCCGGTTTTTGGCCGGCGCCGGGTAGAAACCGTCCGAGCTTGCAAACAAGACGGTTTGTACACGACCCGGTTTCATCGAGGTGCCTTCATACGCTCTTTTCATTCAATGAATTGTGGACGTATAAAATGTTGAGTGTTAAAAAGAGGAAATGCATTATTGCGTGGTACATGTATAAAAAGCTAAAAAAAGACGAGAAAAATACATAGACGACATTGGGTACCTCCCATGTTAACAGAAAGAGAAGATCATGGTGCATTTCATACGCTCATTCGGAAGCAACTATGACGAGAAATTTGAGAAGTACTTTCGAATGAAAAAAGAAACACTATAAAAATGTTACATATTTTGGAACCCAAACTTTAAAACATGAAGATACAAATATGCGAGTAGTATATCTCAATTAATAATTCCTGGTCGACTTCAATAATTATATAATATAATATGCGTTGTTCGTATGGTAGGTAGTGGAGCGGGTGTAGGCCAGGTCTGTGTACATGCTCTACACTCCATACTCATACGTAAAGCACGTGCGGTAGGTCGTATATGGTGTATAGTGTCCCAACGACTTCGAAGAAGTTTTTCGGCGGCTCGTGGGCATGAGCCGTTAAGGTTATACTTCTTTTGACGTGTTAGAAAAAAGATGAGAGCAAATTTTTACAATGCGCGCGCACACTGTCACAAAAATCCGACACCCTGAAGTTAGCTATAGTCAACATTTTAGTTTTTACTATTGTTAGTGTTGTTTTTTCTACAAACGTAGAACAAAAATTTTGAAAAGATTTTTATCTTGTTACGCTAAAGAAGTATAACTTCTAACGCGTGTACATAAATACACACACGTTTTATATATTTTTTGAAGGTTTCCCTTAATTTCTATGGAATGCCATTATTAGATACTGATTTCCTCTTGGGGATTCTCCTCTCCAATAAAAATAATATCAAATGGCTTCATAAATGACGAAGTTATCTGCGAAAACACAAAAAAAATATAGACTACTATAGACTTATAGTCATGTTGAGAATCCTCCTTTTTTGAAGTCGGTTAAATAAAAAATTGGGTCCCTCAAACTTAATTTATAATGAAATAAAAATATCAATTAGTAGGTACCTAGTGGCACTACGACCCTTACACCGATCGGCCTTCTGTGCCTGACACCCGTCAATATTTGAATAGGATTAAAAAAACTAATATTGTATTATTCCGATTGGATTATTGAATATGTTCTATTTGTTTATTAATACTTATATTAAGAGTACAAAAAGCAGGCAATATTTTAGATTAGGAAAGACTAATCCTAGTAAGAAAAAGAAAGAAACTGCAAGAAGTACGTTACAAAAACAAGATGGTTTTCTAATGAATAAGGAAATTAATATATTTTCATTTAATTTGTACTTTATGGTGCTTTTTTTTAGAGACTGGCTACAGATTAATAACTCCAGATGTCCTGGCTTCGGAGAAGTTGCTGTATGACGTCATCATTGATTGTACCGGTATATAATTAAATATTATTCTGTTTCCTATATACTTTAACATAATATAACATGGTCCAAGATTTACTCACAAACGTGCATGCTTAAATTTTTTTTTTTATAGATTAATAATGGAATAATTTAATAAAAAAGGCAAGGGTTTATATATTTGGCGAAGGTGTGGATGGAGGTGTCATTTAACTATTTACGTCATGGCGGCAAATATATTCTGTTTGGGTGTTGCCCTCCTACACACCAGGCCACGTAAGTATATTTAAATTAAATTTTCGAAATTGTAGAATCTGAAGTCTTTTTTCAAATTGTTTGCGTACGATTTATTTTTTGTTAGTGATTGATGCTTTGATTGATTTTTAATTCTATTAACTTTTCAGAATTAACCCTTTCGCTGTATACGATAAGGAATTGACGGTTATTGGTGTAAAAATTAACCCCTTCAGTTTTCCTAAAGCACTTGGACTGTTAAGTGCTATGGGCAGCAGGTAATATAATAATTTCATCATAAAGTGTATTTTCTTTTATGAAGTTTGTGACTTACACATTTTTTTTAAGTTGGTCACCTTTAAACACTACATTCCATACCTTTTAGTGTACTTTTGGGGGGCCTCATAGGCTAGCGGTCTTATGAGGTGGCAGCTAGGTGAGGGGTACCGAGTTCGATTCCCGGTTCGAGGGCAAGTTTTAATTTAATTTAAATTTGTTCTCGGCCTTTGGGAGGGTTGTGCGGTACCGGGCGAGTGCCTAAAACCGTACATGGAGGACATGGTCGAATTTCTAAGGCAAAAAGCACGAATTATAAAAATCTTATACTTGACGCTGGCTTAATGCACAAACCGTGCCAGAGCCATAAAAAAAATAGTGTACTTGAAATTTTTTTATAGCCGAAAATTTCGAGTTAAACCAGAAGATAAACGAAAACAAAACGAAAAGTTTTATTTAAATTTAAAAATTACATATTTGTACTGACAAAAATATTTTGTTAATGTCAATTCAATCAATCAACTATAATCTATAAATAATAATATCCTCAAGCCGTCAGCTAGTCTGTGCAGCTTTCATTAAATTCTAAGAATTTCATTTTGTTTTGAACATTTGATTTTTTTCAGGTATTTGAACTACGAAAATCTTGGTGTCAAAACATATGCACTATCAGAATACAAATCGGCATTGGAGGCGTTAAAAAATGGAAGCATATCTAAGGCGATATTTAAGATTTAATAAAAGAATAAACTTAAAATAAATAAACGTTTCTTTTGAGACTGTATTTTACTCTAGAGGACGTGTTTTGTGGCGACTCATTGTAATTTATGTTTAGTACACTAGGTGGCGCCTACTACGTCTTCGTCTCTTATAACTATTTTATTTGTTTCAAATTATATGACTTAATAAAATATATAAAAATCAATAAACTTAGTTTTATTTGAATATCGTTAAGAGAAAACTATTTGCCAACAGATGCTATAAGTTTTTGCTATTCGACTACAGATGGTAGCACTTTACATTTAATATTACTAAAATTTAATTTTAAAACTATTGTTCTTAAGTCTCATTTAAAACCAGAATCTATTATTTAATTATTATAATGATTGCTGTCATCTCTGTTAAATATTTGGTAATTTATAGAGATAGATCTATCTATTCGTACATTTGAGCTGTAAAGGATAACTGTCTTATCTCATCAGAAGGATTTCCGGAAAAAGATAACTGACTGATCAAAGATATTCAAACACGCCTTACATATATTAGCTCTATAATAATAGCATTTATTTATACAAGCAGACAATCATAAGTCCATGTGGTTATTAATGTGTTAGTTGCAATATTGTCCTAAATTTAATAGCTTTTAGGTATATCTATAATATAAAAATGAATCGCTGAATGTGTTTCTAAGCGCAGATTCGAGGATGGTTCATACATAGAGAATTTTTTTAAAAATTGCCTGAAAACGTCTAAAAACAACACTTTTCAATATTCCCATACAAAAGATTCCTAATAATACTTAAAAGTTAATTTGAACTTTAATACCATAACATAAAGTTTAAGTGTAAGTGAAGGCAAAACAATTAAGTGACGTTACTATCGTATAAATATTAACGTCAAGATTTGCCAATATTTATACGATGGTAGCATTACTCAAAAACAAATTGTCTATGGTATTAATTGTTTGCTATTTTGTTTATTCCTAAATAATTATGTATTAACAGTGTGTATTCACGGATGCTTGGCGGACCCATGCGACTTCAATACAAAGAGTCCCCACTCCCCTCGTGAGTTGTGTGCTGCGATATTGCGGGCTAGTCGATTGTGAGGAAGTTGCTTGGATCTGGTCTGACGCCTTCTTAAGTTCTCATGTCTATCGCGTGTATATCCTTTCTATAACATATTTTCATAAGTATCTGATTGTCCTCATTTTAACATAATGTTTGAGAGCAAAAAAAATTTGCCAGCAGAGAATCGAATCCAAGGTCCGATTTATGTGGATGTTACCGGAAATGAATGAAATCTAGGAATTGTATACAAATCCTAGGAAATTGATATAATTCCGAAGCTATTTAGGAAATGTATAAAATATTGTTTCCAAAACTATTTAATACATACAATTCCTAGGAAATGTATAAAAATAATGCTTTCTGTAAAAAAAACTTTGTTGTTAAAATGAGAATAATAATTCTTATTAGCACTCGTTGAGACAACAACGTTCAGGTAACAGTCATATCATAAAATATCATCATTTAATAATTAATTGATAAAGCTCATCATCCGTTTTTAGCCAAAACTACACCTATAATATTTCGAGCATCACCACGTCCTCTGTCAACCTCGGGGACTGCAATTCGTACAGAAGTGCCAATAGGTACGGAACTTCTTTTCACTCAATTTCAGCATTTTTTCAGCCTGTTGTTATAGGTTTTTCTTAGCACTTTGACGATTATCTTGTACTTTATATTTTTTTGAACATAATGGACACAAAACTTTAGGTCCAAATCCTTCATCGGATGATTCTTCAGCAACAGCGCAAATAGCGTGGATTGCTCCGCTATCCCCGCATACCCATTGATATCTGAAATATTTACATTTCTGAATGCTATTTAGGTAGATTTCCTAGGAAATGTGTCTAATATAATTTATTTTACACATTTCCGTGTGATTTTAGGAATTACATACAATTCCGAGGAAATTTATATAATGACGGATTACATACATTTCCGGTAACATGGACATATCTAAGTTTTATAATCGCTCTTAACACTTTTAACATAGTCAAGTCTTGACTCTGAATCTTAGAGTGACAATCAGTTGGGAGGTTAAGCGCTTAATCCGACTCCCTTATGTCAAGTCCAAGACATTTTTGACATAATTAAGGAAGTCATAGTTCGCGCTAAGTTTCGCTGACCCTAAGTCTAATTGGTTCGGAAAACATGCCTTAAAAAAGCTTATGAAATTCGGTAGAAAATGCAGAGGGACCCCACATCTCTACGCAACGCCAAGGGATCAAGCCGCTTGGACAGTGAGTGGTGCTGGTCTTCGTTGAAAACGGTAAAGTGAAAGCTGGTACTGTGGCTCGCCTAGAGGTGTCTTAATAAATTAAATTATTAGGAATAAATTATTTAACACAATTTTACAAATTACAATCGAGCCTAGAGTAACAGTAGTTTGAATTCACTAACAGTCTTTAGTGCAACACAACACTAATTAAACTTAATCGATCTAGTGTATAGAATAATAATTTAAAGCATTCCCCTCCGTCGTTTCAAAAATGAATAAAAATATTCAAAATCGCATCTTCCCTTGCAAAAATTAATTACCAAATCGTCCGTGAAATTCATTTATTGAATACAAATGTAAGTTACGACTCCACAGATGTGAAATTAAAGGACCATAAATTATAGATAGAGAAGTCAAACTCTTTTGAGATGAATACTTTGTTGTTGACAGCAAAGAGATCGTATTTGAATTATATTTTTTTTGTACTAATTATTGATCGTATAAATGTTTTCTTAAACGCTTAAACGAACGAACGAACGCTTAAATTATTATTAACTTCTAGGTATATATATATATATATAATAATATGCTATATTCTATGTTTTAGCTGCAGTTGTCAAAAATCGGTGGAACGATGTATGATAGGGAAGAAAAGAATATTCAAAATAAATAATACATCATTAAAGAAGAACAACTAAGGTAACAGATGTAACAATACAAAATAAATAAACTAAAGTAGAAATGGGTGGGGCACATGACAAGGCGATTAAAAAGAGTGGCGGAGAGTTTATTGCCTGTTCTTCTCTTCCGTTCTACGCCCTTGATTTGAGAACTGGCAGTAAATGTAAAATTAGAAGCATTTCATTTATATATTTTTTTTGACGTTCATAAGTGTACATTGTGTTACCTATATGAATAAATGATTATGCCTTTTTGAATTCTATTATGTTGATAATCCCTTATTCGTGTTTGCCTAACTTTGGTTATGCTAGTATAAAAAAGCATAGACAACCCTAGTTTTCCCTACAAAACAGCATCGATTTAAACTTTGCTCTGTAGTCGACAAAAAAGAAAAAGTGAAAATTCTGAACGCAACAAAGTGGCAGCTGCCGCGTACAGCGCCGCGCTGATTGAACTCAACGTT